TTTTGGTTGCAGCCGTCATTGTTGTTTGGCGGGTCCAGGCTGGGGATTCGAACCTGCCACCTTAGGTGTACGTGGCTGGCGCCTTAGCCAGTTGAACTATAGGCGCCGAGCCCCATTTCTCTTTTTACATTTACAAGGGCTTCTAGGTGGAACAGAAGAGCTCTGGGTTATGCTCCCATGACAGGGAGGTAATTTCAGAGTGCTGAGCCAGGGCCTGAGCAAGCATTGAGGCCAGAACTCACAACACTCTCTGGGGCTTAGCAAGATGATTCCTATAGATACGTGCAAAATAACCAGAAGACATTTTACATGCAGTTTGGGACCCAGGTAAGTAGATCTTATTTCTGTTTAAAAAGTATTATATGTATGTAGTGTATATATATACACACATAGACACACACACACATATATATACACTTATTTACATACATGCATAGAGGGTGCCAAAAAACGTATACACATTTAAGAAAGGAAAATACTGTACTAAATTTGTAATAAAGTCACATCTGACTTCTGAAATTACAAGAGGTGTTCAACATGACTTGTATTCATCTTTTGTTACCAGTATATATTGAGTATTACAATTTTAATGCAGTTTTTTCCTTCCTTAAAATGTGTATACATTTTTTTAGCAGCCCCAGTTCTGTCTTTAAAGGGATCTTGTGCTAAGGATTAAGAAGCTGAGGGTCGACAAACATTTGCTTGTACTACTTCTTTGATTTTCTTTTGCACATAAACTGGATCTTTCAGTTACTATTTAAGTGTATGTGGCTTAAATGTGATTTTTGTGAGAAAATAATGAGTCATATTGCAAATACCATTTTATATTTATAGATACCTGCTTTGCATAACCTTTTTATTTAATTAATTAATTAATTTTTTTTTTTTTGAGACAGAGCCTCAAACTGTCCCCCTGGGTAGAGCGCCATGGCATCACAGCTCATAGCAACCTCCAACTCCTGGGCTCAAGCAAGTCTTCTGCCTCAGCCTCCCAAGTAGCTGGGACCACAGGGGCCCACGACAACGCCTGGCTATTTTTTGGTTGCAACTGTCGTTGTTTGGCGGGCCGGGCTGGATTCGAACCCGCCACCTTAGGTGTATGTGGCTGGTGCCTTAGCCGCTTGAGCCACAGGTGCCGAGCCGCATAACCTTTTTCATTCCTGTGATTCTAAACATTTAATAAATAGATTTAAGAAACTAGTGTTAAAAACTATTCTAGGAAGGAGAAATGAATCAGCAAAGTTCCAATCTTGGGCATATACATATGAGAAAGAAAGGCATGTCTCCAACAAAAGAACAATTTATAGCCTTTACTAGCTCCAAACATTTTTATATTATTGTCTTTTGTCTCAGTTTCAAAATGGAAACATGGCTTAGAAAATCTGACTACTACTGTTTGCCATCTAAAAGCATTTAAAGTTCCATTATTTGAAAAAGCACAGCTTTAAAAAAAATCACCAACACCAATAAATGGATACTGGCAAGTAAGGTCTATGCTGGTCTTCTGTTGAACTTCCCTGCTGTCACGAAGAGAGCAGTCAGGGGAGCTGTGGGTGACTCCCACACGAAACTCATCCCCAGTGTGCAGAACTCCCAGCTTACCTGAATATTGAGCTGCACTTTTTCCATCTCTACACCAAGGAACTTAGATCTGACATCAAAGATGCCCACATCTTCAGTAGCTGTGATATCAAATGTAACATTCTTAAACCTAGTCAAGAAAGGAAAATTCACACACATGAACTTGCAAATATAGCATAAGCTTAAAGCTGAAACAATCTAATGGAATCCAAGTTATCTTTCTTTTTTCTTTCTTTTTTTTTTTTTTTTTTTGAGGCAAAGTCTTACTTTGTTACCCTGGGTAGAGTGCTGTAGTATCATAGCTCACAGCAACCTCCAAATCCAGGGCTCAAGCGATTCTCCTGCCTCTGCCTCCCAAGTAGCTGGGACTATAGGCGCCCGCCACAATGCCTGGCTATTTTTTGGTTGCAGCCTTCAGTGTTGTTTGACGGGCCCAGGCTAGATTCGAACCTGCCACCTCAGGTGTATGTGGCTGGCACCTTAGCCACTTGAGCCACAGGTGCTGAGCCTCAACCTCCAACTCTTGGGCTCAAGCAATTCTCTTGTCTCAGCCTCCTGAGTTGCTGGGACTACAGGAGTTAATTTTTCAATTTTAGTAGAGAAGGAGTCTCACTCTTGTTCAGGCTGGTCTTGAACTCCTGAGCTCAAGCAATCACTGCCTCAGCCTCCCAGAGTGCTAGGATTATAGGTGTGAGCCACCTTGTCAGGCCCAAGTTATTTATTACTTATTTAATTTTTTGAGACAGAGTCTCACTATGTCACCCTTGGTAGCTGTGCCATGGTGTCACAGCTCACAGTAACCTCAAACTCTAGGGCTTAAGTGATTCTCTTGCCTCAGCCTCCCAAGTAGCTGGGACTCTAGGCACCTGCCACGATGCCTGGCTATTTTTTTGCTGTAGTTGTCATTGTTGTTTGGTGGGCCGGGGACGGGTTTGAACCTGCCAGCTCTGGCATATGTGGCTGGCACTCTAGCCGCTGAGTTACAGGTGCCGAGCCCCAGTTATCATTTTGAGTGAATAGCCTGTTAGGAAAATTCTAAGGAAGTCACCAAAACCTTCACACCCTCATTCCCCTCCCTATTCTGTCCCCTAAATGCTAGGTTTGATGTTTATTGTTGAGATCTATAACTCACAAGGCACTAAAGTAGATGCTTTATTAGAAAAGAAATAGATGGCATGGTACTTCCTCTGAAGGAGCAGAAAATACCGTTGGAAATGTATTAGAGTCACTGAACTTGAGAATTAAATATCGACCTATATTACTCACCAGCCAATCAAATATTTCAGATAAGTATTACTGAAACTTCAAAAGAGTAAGCAGTTTTTTGGGGGTTGGTGCCGTAAGAGAAGTTTTCATAAGATAATGAGGTAGATACCAGGCTTTGAAAGAAGGCAAGAGTGAAAGAGAAGGCCCATGCCAGTAAGCCTGGCTTCCTCTGAGACAAAGGACGAGCGATGGGGAGGCAGGCTCGCGATCCTCCTAAACAAAAAAAGGAAGCACGTAGTATTTGATGTGGGATTGTGGCGGGGGCTTCTCTTTTCTCCACCCCCTCGAACACACACTCACAGCATATTGCTGGAAATGGCTCTTCTCCAGGGTTGACACAGCCTATGGCTTTGAAATGAGAAAGGGACTGTGTAGCTGTCGTAGATAACTCATCTATCAAGACCGAAAGACAGCCTCTCATTCTCACTGCTGTGACTCAGCTCTTCTGGAGGGCCGGAGAGGCTCCCAAATCCAAACACGCTGGACGAGCCGTGGGAAAGACAACCATGACCGGCACTTTATCAGACAGCAGCAGATACTGAGACAAAAGGGAAGACTAGCAATGACAATATGCATCTTGTCTCCTTGTCATCTGTAATCCAGGCTAAGCCTTGCTAGACCAGATGGAGCTCTCGCAAAGGCCACAGGAAATGAAAAAAAAAAGTGAGTCAGATTTTCTGTGACTCTGTGCAGACTCCAGGCGACACTTACTGGTTTGTGGGAAGATCGTCTATCCCGAGCAGGAGACCTTTCTCGAACAGCTTTGTAGCCGTGTACTTCACAGGCTTAGCTCTCTTGGTCACTTTGGCTTCTCCTTTTCCATCTACTTTAATTGATCTTCGAGTATGTCTGCCAAAATAAGAACCGAACATTGGCTGTTAATGATGGTGAACTCAAATGTTTCTGGTAGTGTGATAACCATGGATAGTGTAACACCACTGTTACTATGTGGCCCCTGTTGTATAAAACGCACATCATTTTATTCTGTGACCATAGAGAATTCCTCCACGCAGTAAAACCTCACTATTGAACTGTTTAGGAGAAAAGGATTGAAGGCTGCTTTACAGACTAACATTTTTTTGTTTTTGTTTTTTTTGAAGAGACAGAGTCTCATTTTATTGCCCTCAGTAGAGTGCCATGGTGTCACTCCTGGGCTTAGGCGATTCTCTTGCCTCAGCCTCCCAAGTAGCTGGGACTACAGGTGCCTACCACAATGCCTGGCTATTTTTTTTGTTGCAGTTTGGCAGTAGCTGGGTTTGAACCTGCCACGCTCGGTATATGGGGCTGGAGCCCTATTCACTGAGCCATAGGCACCACCCTGTTTTTTTTTTTT